CACACACACACACACACACACACACACACACACACACACACACACACACACTACAAAACGAGCCCTTCACTTGCGCCCATGTAATATCAATTAGGCTCTGTCATATATTCATTCCAAAACCACATTCTTCATCAACATTATACAGACCAACTCATCCTAATACGGGGTGCCCACTACAGCTAGCTGGGATCGGCCGATCGTCTCAAAAACAGACGTGTTTGTTTTCAGTTTCATGCGATCGAGTCGGGCGATCAGCCCGATCCAGCCGTAGTGGGCACCCCGTATAAGAGACCTAAACACTTTTGATTACTCGAGGGCCATTTACCCACATGTTATGAGACTCACACGTACACAGACTCGAGGTTTCCCGTTAAAGCATTTCCCTGTTATCTGGTGACATCACAGTTATAACGTTACTTAGCCCCAACAAAGAAGAGCTTAGTTCCGTTTTCTCTTGAGTGACCACTTCAAGCACGTACAAAGCCTATTGTGTACTTATCCCATCTTGACCCATTGGTCAGCCTTTTTGAACAGAGTATACTAGGGAGGGCGGGCATAATAGTGAAAACAGTATTTAATAGGAAAGAAGGTGCAAACCACACTAGAGCACATGCCAACGAACCACTGGTCTGGTTTAATAGCGTGTATTATTATATGCAAGCGTCCTTGTAACACGTTATTTGGTGGTTATGTGTGTCAGATTTTTCTTCGTCCTTCTCCGATATGACCAGGTTCAAGTGAAAAGAAGATGAAAACTCCTCAGTTGTCTGTTTTGCCATGTGGTTTATGCAATGGAGTATGGGTTTAACGCTTTTTTTCCACAAAATAAGGTACTACAGAGGCAGGATCTCTAACCCATCTTCAGTTTCAGACAGCGTGCGTGGAAGCGCATACAGAGTAATTTTTAGTTCAAAAAGTTTTGCTGCACTTATCTTACGAAATGGTCAATTAAATGCCGAAGATAAAAGGTGAGGCCAGAGAGTAATATTACTATTAATTTTTTTTAAAGGATGAGAGATTCATCGAAGGACCAGAAATAGATACTGACTGCACCAGGAGATTCTCAGCTGAGATGGACGAGGAAGTAAAAGTCTGGGAGATTGATTATAAACACTGGCCACGTTCCTTTTCCCATAGGCACACGCGGGGGTGTTGGTGAGGGTGGGTGTGGGGGTGAGCACTGGGGGAACGAATGCTAGCGATTG